AGGCCAGGCTGGACATTGGGGCTGGGAGCAGCCTGGGACAGTGGAAGGTGTCCCTGCCCATGTCCCTTTGCTGAGCTGTAATCTCCCTTCCTGCCCACCCCATTCCACAATCCCATGGCCCCTGTGGGGCTGACCCCAGGGAGCTCCAAGCCAGCAATGGAATCATCAACCTGGAATCATCGGCCCCATCCCGAGCCCAGCGCACCCACAGAGGTCCTTGCAGCCACCCTAAACAGCTGCAACTCTTCCTGTTCGAGGAAATAATTAACTTATTAGGGGATGGTTTAATTTGCTTCGTTAATGAGGCCATTTCCCATCGCCTGGCAGGGCCAGATGCCCCTGGGCACCGCTGGGAGATGCTGAGCTCCAGCCTCCCCACCCTCCCAGGGAACAATTCCTTCCCAATATCCCATCCATCCCTGCCCTCTGGCACTGGGAAGCCATTCCCTGTGTCCTGTCCCTCCATCCCTTGTCCCCAGTCCCTCTCCAGCTCTCCTGGAGCCCCTTTAGRCCCYRMAAGGGGCTCTGAGCTCTCCCTGGATCCTTCTCCTCTCCAGGTGAGCACCCCCAGCTCTCCCAGCCTGGCTCCAGAGCAGMGGGGCTCCAGCCCTGGAGCAGCTCCGTGGCCTCCTCTGGACTCCTCCAGCAGCTCCAGGTCTGTCCTGTCCTGGACAGAGCTGGACACAGCATTCCAGTGGGGATGGACAGATTGTGGATGGAGCATTCCAGGAGTCTTTGCTGACCGTGAGCTCTCGCACTGCCAGGATGTTCTGGAAGGATCCCTGTCCCAAATCCTGCAGATCTCCAGCGGGCTGGGCTGTGTTTCCCAGGTTTACCTCGGAGCAGGCAGATGCTGTTCCCTCCCCGCCTCGCTCTGTGGCAGCCGGGATGGGAGCAGAGCAGCTCTGTGGTGCCAGGATCCTGCAGCCCGGCCCATCTGAGCTCTCACTGTCCCTCTCTGCTCCAAATCCTTCCGGTCTGGTGCTGCTTTGGGATCGTGAGCCAGCAGAGCRATGGCTGGTCCTCGTCCCATTATGGAAAAATGGGCTGAGGAGGGAGAGGCGAGCGATTTATCCCTCCYGATCCGCAGAATTTAATTTCTGAGGAACTTTTCCCACTTTTGGGCTGTCCACACCACAATCCTGTGCCTTGACAAGCTGATTCCTGGGATTCTTTTGGGTTCCTCCCATTCTCCACTGCAGCCCAGCCTCTGCTCAGGCCCTAAATTTGATGTGGTGACATTAAACGTGGCCATTCAGGGGATGTGGCGAGGCCAGCAAGGCTGGGGGTGGCGAGTTTTTGGACCAGCCAACTTTTCTCACCCAGGTTCTCGAGAGGAGAAGCTCTGGAATGTTCCTTAATGAAAATTGCCTTTGTTTGACAGTGGGAAGGATTGGGAATTCTCACAGGGAAATGAGATTAATTATCACACAATGCAGCAAATCCCCCACCCTACAGACACCACCAGCCCATCCCCACGTCCTTTCCCTTCACTTTTCCCTCCTTTTTCCCTCTTTTCCTTCCCAGAGTGAAGAAGAAGAACAAGCCCCTGAACCTCAAGATCCACAACAGCGTGGGGAGCTGYGAGAACATCCCAGCACAGCGCTCTCCACTCCTGTCCGAGCGCTCCCTGCGCTCCTTCTTCGTGGGGTACCCGCCCTTCCTGCCCTCCACCCCGCCCGTCCACACCGACGCCACCTTCTCGGCCAGTAAGTGYCCACGGGTCCCTCTTCCAAGGGTGGCACCTGGGAATCTCGGAATTTATGGTCTTGAAGAGCACTGAGGGCTGAGGGGTGAGCATATTCCTTGTGGGTGTGCCTGGTGTTGGTGTTTGGAGATCTGTGGGTGCTTCTGGGCAAAGAAAACCCCCAAAACTTGAATTTTCTGTCGTTTGGGAAAGCTGCAAGGTTTCTCTGCTGCCAGGCGTTGGTGGCACTGTCTGGATGTCACCTGAAAGTGGCTTTTCCAAGGGTTCCTTGGTTTCACCTTGGTGTTTGAACCTCTCCCATTTGCTGTTTGGAGCCGATGTGGAATTTTGGGAAGCCATTCCTGGCACAAACGCCAGGGAGCTGATCCCAGCAGTCAGCCCTGAGCCCTCACACTCTTCCAGGAGATGCTGGTGGTGGCACTCACGGGGTGGGTTTGGCTCCAGGAGCTCACCCAGGTCTGAGAGAAACAGCCTGACCCTCATTTCCCGGTCCCAGATCGGTGCTGGGGTTAATCCCACARCGATTGAAGCTTTTCCAAGCCAGATGTGGCTCTTGTCTCAAGAACTTTCCTGGAAACACATGGCAGCTTCTGGGAGTCATTCCCAGCCAAATTGAGCTCCCCTTGCCTCTCGTTCCTCAGCCAAAAACTTCCTCCAGCTCCAAATCCAGGCTGGGTTTCTGTCACCTTCGCTTCCCTGGATTTTCCCCTTGTTTCCTTTCCCAAAGCATCATCTTCCTGGCTTGTTT